ACCAAATAATGCCCTTTAAATGGTGTGTTATGTCATTATACCTTGCAAATAAAAGGCAGTGAGCTGTCTAGTGTATGGTGGTGGTAGAAGTCCAGTTATGATGCTCTAAGTCAGAATGCCTTGGAGCATTTTGTGATTTACTATACAATTCTCTAGATCTTCCATAGCAAAGCTGTGAGATTTTAAGGCACCAGAGTCTTCCCCCTCATCCATTATAAAATACCAAAGCAGAGCTCTCTTTCACATTGGAGCATTTAATCTTCACTTTCCCTTACTTTCAACAAGAAGTTATTATTACATTTCTTGAAATATGAAAATGTTTAATAAAGTTGTGACCTACTCTTAAATCTATTATTCTGATCTAATTATTTCACATAACTGTCAATAATAAAAAATATCCATGGTAAATGCCAAAAGCATAAAATATAGAAAGATGATATAAATTACAAGTAATTAATAAGGATAAAACACACATTCACTTAGAAACATGGGGAAAATATGAAATGCGTTCCAAAGTGGGATCCCTATGAGTATACTTGTGTCCCGGAGCCTTCCATATATATTGTATATGTGAGAAGATAGAAAGTGCTTGGCTGTGGCCTGGTAGCTGTCTCAGTTGGAAAGTGTTTCTGCACAAGCATGAGAACCTGAGTTTGGCCTCCTAGATTCCTATAGCCTGGCACATGTCTGTAGGGGAAGGTTTAGAAACGGGAAGATCCCCAGGACTTGCAGACTAGGAACTTTACCAAAATGGTGAGCTCCTGGCTTACTGAGGAACTCTATGTCTAAAACGGAGGTGGAAAGCAAATAAAGGGAGACAGTCAGCATGGACCCCTGGCATGCATAGACCCAGCCCTGGGAACATGCACATGGATACATCACATACACCATGTTCTAGAGAAAGTGATTGACTGTTAGTCAAAGTGTTTCTCTAATCATTCTGAAAGCAAGTAAATTACAAGTATAATACTTATATTAAGATGTCTAATGGAAAAATGTTTGGGACGTAGTGTATTTCTGAGCAACATATAAGTAAAACACACAGTGATTCAGGTGGAAGTTGGTACTTGTATTGTTTACTTGGGCTCTTATATAGAGTGTTTATAGTCAAGCAGATGTGTTTTCTACATTAATTTTTCTGTATGTTCTATTATTGGAAATTCATTGTGATGTTACTTAAAGTTATGCTTATGTATAATACTGGCTCATAGTGTTAATGGATGGTATATAAATCAGAGTTACTGTATCATGAGTATATTACAGGCAATATTCATGTAGCTGTAGTAGTCACTGGTAACTTCTCTGACCTTTAATTTTGAAGTATTTCTTCATTGGGGAAGTGAAAGCTACTGAGTCAATTAGAATAAAAGGAATCTTAAATACTTCCTCTTAACATTCACAAGTTGTGAACATGTTAAGGACTAGAGCAGAATTATTTATTGTTCTTTCTTCTCCAATAACATATGTTCTTTGATCCTGACTTCAGTATATGTTGACATGAACATTATTTTAATTATGGATGCACAATTCTGATGAGTTATGTGTCTATTCTAGACATTCTTCATCTGTAGTCAATCAACCATGTGACAGAAACCAAGGCAGAGTAAGCAAAGTGGCATTTGAGAATTGATGGTTCTGTTTCATTTGCATATGAGAGTAGTTAAAGGAAAAGAGTGAAGGGTGAAGTTATACAAGAGTAAGTTCTGCAGGCAGTGTGAGCTGTTTGCCCATCACAGGGGGTGTCAGTGTAGCTGTTTACACTCAACATCCATGAAATGTGCATATGTTCCAGTCTAAGAAAAGCGGTTACTTGTGGGTAGTTCTTCTCCACTTACATTGTGGGTAAATTCGTCCTACCATCAACAGGTCAAACTGATCAGAAAATGTCTTTTGAGATATCTACTCTCATGTTTGCAACACACATTAATAATTTTCATAAAATTAAACTGCCAGATAAGAAGGTTAGAGGAAGCACTTAAGTCCTTGTTTAGAAGAACCATGTCCAGTCTTTCTTTCTCTTGTGTTACCAGGATGTTGTTACCTATCACTTCCTCCTCTTTCTAAAGTAAAGCCAGTCAATCTTAGGAGGGAAAGAGGTGTTAATGCAAACCATCCTTAGCCAGAGCTGCGTGGAAATGGAACTGGGAGTAAGAACACAGCAAAAAGTATTACAGCTTCCAGAAACTGTATTAACACATGATGTGGCTTTATGATTCAATTTGAATGAATTATATTAGTTATAGCAGTTATACATAGATTTTTAAATGATGCATTTAGGTATCTATACTAAGACATATATGGATCAAGTTATATAATATGTAGACTGTGCTTCAAAATAATTGACAAGTGGAAGATGTGAAGGTACAGAGGAAACATATTAGGCATAAATTAATTGTTGGTCAAGCTGAGCAGTGCATACATGTATTCATTACACTCTACATTTTAATTTTAATTTGCTATAATAATGTTTAAATTGTGTAATGAATGAAATATCCACATAGGGCTCAGAATCTGCTTTCCATTCATTTGTCATGCATTCTTGTTACAGAGAACGTGAGTGCCTTTTCCACTTCACATGAAGAGCTAGCTTTCTTAAATGACTCAATATAATGTAGATCTATACAGACGCACCAGTACAGACACACAGTACAGATTTTAACCTTCACAGTAAAACTTCATCCAGATAACTTGTATTGACTGTTCTCTTAACTTAAAGTTCTTTTCATCAAATCGTACTAGGAAAGTTTATATTTCTTTAAAGTTTCGAGGTGTTAAAAATATTAAAGTAAGGAGATTATCCAAAATGGAAGAATTCAATCTTGTTTTTATCATGTGTGAAATTATGGGTCACAGAACATTTAAGTTCATCAGTTCTGAACATGCTGATATGTGCATTCTCTCTCTCCTTCTCTCCCTCCCTGCTTCCATCCTTCACTCCCTTGCTCCCTCTCTCTATTTGATGTGTGTGGGTGTTTACTCATTCATGTATCTAGTTATTTACTATTACAAGTTTTTAAAAATTGTGTAAAAGCATATGAATAAGGTGATGTTGCAGCTTCTTTTCATTAAGCCATCCAATTTGCATTTTTTTCTTTTTGATAATATACTTTACAAAGAAGGTATTTAGTTTGTTAATCCAAGAGAAGTTAAAGGAAACTATAGGCCAATCGTATCTGCTTCAGAGTAGACATCTGGAATCTGTCTAGTAAGAGGAGAGGAAGAGAATTTTTTTGCAATGCTCTGAAGCCATATTGTTGACATCAGGTGATTCAACTTCCCATAGGCCAAGCTGATACAATACAATAGGCCTGAGTTAAGTACAGGATGATTTCTGTGTATCTGCCTGCAAAAATGATGCTAATTTGCCCTGTTTGTCCCTTAAACTGTTTTTTTTTTTCTTTTGATTTTTGACATTTTAAAATGTAGTACTAAATTAAGTGTATAATACAAAAATGCCATGGTGGTGAATGTCTTTTACCTCCTGTTTCTAGAAGGCAGATGAGAGACCATGTTGCTAGAGTTTTCCTGCCTGGCCCACAGTCAGGGCAAATCTCTCTCACCTGCCAGTCCCACAGCCTATCAGACCCGACCAAGTAAACACAGAGACTTGTATTGGTTTCAAACTGTATGGCCATGGCAGGCTTCTTGCTAACTGTTCTTTCAGCTTAAATTAATCCATTTTTATAAATTTATACCTTGCCACATGGCTCGTGGCTTACCGGTATCTTCACATTCTGTTTCTCATAGTGGCGGCTGGCAGTCTCTCTGACTCAGCCTTCCACTTCCCAGCTTTATTCTCCTCCTTGTCCCGCCTACACTTCCTGCCTAGCCAATGGCCAATCAGTGTTTTAATTATTGACTAATCAGCAACACATTTGACATACAGAACATCCCACAGCAAGACCGTACCATTCTGTCTGCTCCCAACTGTGAATATTTTATGCTGTTAGAGCTTAGTTAGGGACATGAATGTGGAAGGCCGAACAAAACCTCTAGTGATCACCAATAAAGACATTTCTAGCCCTAAAGTATTTGAACAAATCTTTTGTAGCTTATAATTTGAAAGCTGGATTGGGAGGTGCTTCATATCTTATAATGTTATATTCCATATGAACACGATCAGCTTCCCACTGATGAGTCAGAACTCTCTGAGATAAATCAACTTAAGGAATGAGAACTTCCTTTGGCTCATGGCTTCCAAGGTTTTAGGCCCTGGTTGGTTGACTTTGTTGCTTTGGATTGGTGATCAAGCATGTGATGGAGTAAAGCTCTTCACCTCATAGCATCTAGAAAGCAGAGGGAAGGATTGGAAGGGGAAAGTGTCCTAATAACCCCTTCATGGACACACTTGAGTATGCCTCACCACACTTGCACGAGGCCTCACGTCACAAAGGTGACACCGTAGACTAGCAACTGAGCCTTCAATGCATGATCCTTTTAGGGGATGTGTAAGATATAGATCATAAGGCTTTCAGCACAGATGGTTACTTCTCATTAATATTTTCCCTACTCATTCCTTATTAATCAAGATTTAGCAAACCCTAGTCAGTTTAAGCAGAAATATTTACCCACAGTTAATATGCACAAGAACTTTTCCAAAGTAGACTTCAAATAGGTTGCTTTCATTACTATTTATTATTGCTTTAATCATTTTTAATTTTGCCAACATGTTCTTTTTATAGAATATTTAATTGGCATTGTTTTGAAGAGGGATGTAATTCATTTTTCAGTATCTGAGGACTATAAAGCCTTGTACATTAGAATTAAAGATGCATACTTGTGAAAATTAAGCTCCTTGAAAGGAATTTTGCTCTTTGGTAAATTTAATACCGAGCCTCATTATATATTTTGTTGTCTTACAATCTTTTTTTACTCAACTGCTCCTTCAAGACATCTTGTCTCCACCCATGACCCACAAACTTGTGAAACATTTTATAGATGTGCAATCTTTAGAGTCCCCTGGATTGTTTTGAATCAATGAGCGTGTTTTCTTTGTTTAGGAGTCCGATGGCCAAGGCTGCCCCTTCTGTCGCTGTGAGATAAAAGGAACTGAGCCCATCATCGTGGATCCCTTTGATCCCAGAGATGAAGGGTCCAGGTGCTGCAGCATCATCGACCCTTTCAGCATCCCCATGCTTGACTTGGATGATGATGATGATCGAGAGGAGTCCTTGATGATGAACAGGCTGGCGAGTGTTCGAAAGGTAAACCAGAATTCATGAATGTAGCTTTCATGCTGTGAGAGGACTAAGAAATCAGTCTCAAGTAGTCTATGTGTGTTCATGTGTTTGTCTAAGAAAGCATTCTTGATTCAAAACTAAGGTTAAAATACAAGCAGTTTTCCATTTTAAAAAAAGTGTCGTCCTCATTCCTCATCAAGGAAATTTCTCTTTGCAACAGATAGAGACCACTGTGGAAAACCACAACCAAGCAAAATACAGAGTTGTGCAGCCCAGTCCTATTGGGTACATCCGTAAAATACTCCTGCATTTAAGGCTTAGGGAACAGTGTGGAAAGGGGACAGAAAGATTGTAAGAGCCAGTGTGTAGCTGGACGTTTTCCTGTGTCCAGTCTGGCCTGCAGCAGCTTATAAAATAATCACTCAGAGGCTTAATATTAATTACAAACTGTTTTGTCTATCGCTCAGGCTTTTAGCTAGCTCTTTCGTCTTAAATTAACCCATTTCTACTGAACTATGTTTTGCCACATGGCTACATGGCCTTACCTGTGTTCCATTACATCTTGTTCCTCAGCAGCACTCAGCATCTCCCGTGACTCTGCCTTTCTTCTCCCTGTCTCTCTGTTTGGATTTCCTGCCTAGCTCTCCTCTGCCTTGCCATAGGCCATAGCAACTTCTTTATTAACCAGTGGTAGCAACACATATTCACAGTGTAAAGAAAGACCATCCCAAAGCACCAGAGGACTATGGATTTTCTGTGTCTCTTAATCTCAGAAGGTACATCGATAAGTCTCACTAATATGACTGCCTGAATATGCACTGAACAAGGACAACAATAAACATGCCCAAAATGGACAAGGGAAAGACCGTGAGGCCTCACCCCCACTGGAGTAACTGCAGGCAGCTAAGAAGTGCTGGCAGTGGGAGAGATAATCCTTCCCAGGAAGAGCACTCCACTTGGTTGTCCAGTACCAAACGGTCAGCCCTGAAAGCATGCATACAAGTAACATTATGCAGATGGAGTATGTTATATTTAGAAATATATGTATATATGCATATACATGTATGCATCTCACAACAGTTAGTGAGAAAAGAGGCCATTAATTTGAAAGAGAGCAGGAGGGGGTATTATGGACAGGTTTGAAGGGAAGAAAGGGGGCGATTGTGTGATTATATTAGCTCAAAAATAAAATAATTTTAAAAACTGTAAGCAATATTGACCAATTCATAAAATAGTAGCTCAAGCAGAATCATCTACTAAGGTAGCCACCTGGTTTTAAAACTCATGAGAGGCAGATGAGAACATTTGTATAGAATTAAATATCCAAGAATGAGATGAATAGATGTGAAGAAAAAATGAAGAAAGGAAGTTATTTTATTTGCAAATGGTAAGATGCACGTGATTAACATTTCTGTTGAGTCTAGAAGTGTTGAGTAGATTTATTTTCTTAACAGAAACGACGTCTTGGTGTTCAATTTATAAGATGTCACATAAATTCATCTCAGTGAGTGTACTGTAATTTGAGGTTTGCTTGTTAATTTAGAAAACTGGCCGTAGGAACTGAAAGTGGATGCTACTGCCCACTGGTGTTTACTTCACAAAAGAATCAGCGTGCTGCTTGAATAATTTAGAAATCAGGACTGGGAGATATATCCCTAGATATCAGAGTGCTTGTTGGTGTATAGAAATGCACATGAAATTCAGATTAGATTGAGAAGTTTTACGCTGTGGAAGTCACAGTGGGATTAATTGCTGTGGGAGCATCTGTAGAGGAGTGAACTGTCTGCCTCCTGGCTCTTGCAGACATGACTAATCAACCACAGTGCTCATCCCTCTGGAGTTCAGGTTGGCCTCCAAGCTTTCCAAGGTAGCCCTAAGGAGAACCATTTGCCACTAAGGTGGGTGGCGATCGTGATGGCCACTTCACATTGTTTACACTGTGTACCTATTGCTGTAGTAGGAAAATAATTGATGCAGACCACAGGAGAGGCCATTTTTATAGCTACTTCAAGGCTGTATCAAACTTCACTGAAAGAAAATTCTTGCATTTTCTCTGTCCCAGAGTTTCATGCTGACTTCAGACATTCCCTTATTATTTTTAGATGAAAGATTTTGTATGTGAAGTTATGTTGATATCCCCAATTTTACCACTCTCAGATTCAGCCTTGGGCTGGGATGATGATGTTGGTTCTTCACACTGTTAGATTTACGTAAGTTTCATAAGCTAACTCAGAAACTACTGTATGTTTCATCTTTCAGTGATAACAGCTGTTGAGAATTTTTTTTAATTACATGACCTCTTTGATCCAAGAGAAAGTTGTTATCCCTCAGTAACTTTAAATGATGAATAAGAAAGAAAGAAGTCTTAGAGACAAGTATGACTTGAGTCCCCAGCCAACTAAAATTCTGCCTTTAAGAAGGGGTGACACCAGTTCTGTTACAGGCTAGAACTGGGACTTCCTTAAGCTGATTACTTCCACTCCTGATGTTGGCTTCCTCTTGTAAAGCAGGACAGCAACAGCAGTTCCTCCCATTAACTGTTGGAATGACCAAATGAGATCTTGGATTTCAGACAGTAACATAGTGTCAAGTCACAGAAACCACAAATGCTTGGTATACTGTCCCTGTTAATTGTATTTAGGACTGCTAGCCGGGTGGTGGTGGCGGCACAGGCCTTTAATCCCAGCACTGTGGAGGCAGAGCTAGGTGGATCTCTGTGAGTTCGAGGCCAGCCTGGTCTACTGAGCAAGATCCAAGACAGGCATCAAAACTACACAGAGAAACCCTGTCTTGAAAAAAAAAAAAAGAATACTGTGTGCTGAATGCCTTGTGACACACTTCACAATCTGAATTAGTAGAAATCATTGCATCCTGTGCATGTAAAAAGGGCTACACTGGCACACCAGAGATGATGCTTGCCCTCAGCCAGAGGACATCTGAATATCTGAATGCGAGCTCACTGTTGTGCCAGTCTGGCCATGTCTCAGGCCCTATGAGAGACTCATTCAAAACCGAGAAGAAAGCTGCAAAGTGACAGTGGGAATAACGTAGTATATGCTTGTAACATTGGCTTCATTGGTTGATGGCAGTTTTCCCTTGAAGTGACAATTTTGCATATCAAGTGAACTGTATTGAGGTGATAATGGAGCACTTATATAATCATGTTCATTTTAGTCTCTTGATCTGCAAGACCTAAAGTATTTCTTACCTGGCCCTTTAAGAAAGCATGTTGCCCCAGGTATAGGGTGCAGGGTGCATTTAAAGAATGTTTATTGAATACCTGGGTAACCTGGAAAAGCAGGAAAGTATTTGAGAAACATGCAACAGCTCGCGAAGTTCATATGACCTCTGTGGTAAAAGCTTTCTAGCTTGGAGAAAGGCATTTCAGTTTTCCTGACTGAATGGGTTTTCTTTCAGTGTTCCATATGGGGATTGGGGATGTGGCTCCCAGAATACTTCTCTTTCGAACTTTGTGTACCTTGCCGCTTAGAGAAGGGAAAAACCTTTGCCTCTATCAGTTTGTGAAGAGCTGCAGTCCTGGCCTGCTTCACCTGAATGAACGTGAAGCTGAGGCCTCTTCTCACAATGACTCCCGTAACACAAACTGAGAACGAAATGCGCAGGGGAGGAACAGGCCTGCTGCTTTCCACCCTCTCTGGCCTTTCTGGATTTGTTCCCTCTGCTGCTTTGGGAGGTATCTGTCGGGGAAAATGAGAGGTTTTCAGAGTAATCCTCTCTCTTCTGTGGTTAGCCCCACCAAGAGAAGGATGCTCTCCGGCATTCCTGGCTTCTGTCCCGTGATAAGTCTCTGGCCTTCAGTGTTCCACACTTCTATGGCAGTTAGATATTTTAGAAAGGTAATTAAATTACAGTTATTTGGTTTTAATTTGATGTCATGATTTAATTAAATGTTTCTTATGTCTACTAATCTGCTGCTAGCAAGTTAAGCAGATCGTGACTTATGTATTATTTCACCAACCTCTGCCACTTAACTTTCAATGCATCCTAAATTTTAGTACGAATATAAGCATAAATTCTGTATGAATGAATAATTGGGAAAAATATTACTGTAAAACCACGTTCTTATTGCTCTGTTTATACGTCTTGATACAATCATTGTGCTAAGTTATTATAGAGGACTGTAAATTCCTAAGACCAAATCACACTTACTGTTCCTGTCACCCAGACATACTCAGTAGCTATTTAAAGAAAACCAGTAAGTGCATGTGCACCTGCTCTCTGAGGGCAGTTTCCTGATCCAATGTCTCTCTTTTATCTCCACTTTATTTAAAGAATAAATATATTGCATGAAAGGCCAGATTTCAATAAGGTTTATGCAGTGATGCGTTAGAGAAAAGGTTATGAACCAAGACTGAGGTCTTTGACACGAAGCCATTCTTCATGCCTGTTCTTCCTCTGTTTTATAATCATCATTGTCTCAGCGTCTATTCATTCCTTTTTAAAGTGTCTCATTTTCCCAACTCAAGAGTGACTGTCAATCATTTGCCAGCAGAATGATTCAATTTTTTCATATTCCATTTCAGTTGCTCATCTTTTTCTCCTTTCATGAACTGGTTGATGACCATATTGTACAATTGTTCTTGTCTGTCTTAAGCTTGTTGCCTTCATTAAATTGATAATCCTTCCATCACTGCATAGAGAACTGAGCTGATTGTATTTTCCAGTTATCACAGAGATTTCCAACAACTGATATTTATAAGTCATGGCATACAGATTGTTTCCTTGGCATTCATTAATAAGTTAAGGATATTTAGTAATGACGATGTTTCTAATAGGCAGAGAGAACCCACAATTCTGTAAGACAGTGAGTTACTTGCCTTATTGGATGGAAGGCATTTTATGATTTAACTGGAAAGTGTTTTAGATTTTGCCCAAATCTGTGTCATTACCTGAATTTCTGAGCTGTCAGATTTCCTAAATAATTGGGTCTGTGTGAGATGAGCCCCAAGTAGTCCATATTTGATGGAAGAGAACATCACAGCTTCCTCAGTCATCACAGGGAA